CGAACATGATGGCGAATACATAATTGATTAATAAAAGCGCTTTCTTCAAAAAATTTCAATTTTAGTTTGCACTTGAAATCGGGCACGAACTTATGCACTCATCCAATACCAATTGCAATAAGTATTTTTGATTTGAAAAAAATATAAAAGAAAATATTTATTTTTTGATCAAAAAGTATCAAGATTATAATTATTGCTCATTAGAAATATTTTAAGCTCAGTTATAATCATTACTTTTGAGTGAAAGTGTAACAGCCGAAATTAAAATTGATAGCTTATACTGAAAACTTTTAAATCAACAAATAATGATTACAAAATGATTTTCCGATAAAACTCATAATAATGACGATCTCTGTCTTTTGAGCACTTAAGTTGAGCTTTTTTTATTTTGATTTTACTGAAAACTCAAATATGCGCGTTTGAATTTTTCAGCACAAATTTAAAATTTTTTGTTGTGTATAAAAATTGAATAACATAATTCTTACTCTAAAACTGACAGATAAAGAAATTTTTTGTTTTAGTTTTTTTTTCTTAAATTATTTCAATTTTTAGTTTTCATTTTTTTATTTTTTTACCTTTTAAACATTTCAAAATCATAATTGGCGCTTTGTAACCGCTGAAGCAATTTTCCGCCGAGCTCATCCTTCAATTTGTTGTTTTGAGTCTTGATTTTTTTCCAACAAAATAGAGGGACCTACATTTTATACCTCCCCCGACTCCGAACGGCTGATGGGTTTTCCATGAGAAGCTTTTGATTATCATGTCAGATGTACACTCGTAGGGGCTGACGGTCGCTGCCGAGGAGCGACCGCAGTTAGAAAATTAAACTTAGTTTTTTATTTAAATTCATTTTCTGTAACATTTGGATGTTATTGCAGTTTGATATGACCAATTACGAGGTTACGAAAAATTTCATTAAAATCCATTCAACAGTATGGGATGTATGAGGTGAACTAGCCCTTAACTGATATGACACAATCAGTATTTTAACTGGTAAAAGCAAACTGGTATTAAACTAGTATGAAGCTGATGCATAGACTGACAATTAACAGTTCGTAAGACATCGTCGTGTTAAAAATACCAGTTGCTTACATGAAAAATATATGTAAGATGAACTGGTTGGTGTAAATATGGAGATTTCTTGGATTTTCGTTAACAACTAGTATTTTACGCTGCTGGGTTTTTATCACATACAAACACACACAGCTAAAAATAATGCTCTTGCACACATATAAGCCAGTTTTCAAACACACATGCATACGTAGATTTAGCATTCGTGCGCTCTGTTGACCCCTGAGAGTGCGCGTCAGTTGGCCGCAGGCAAACGAGAGATTTCCACTTGAACGAACGCGGTAGCAAAAAAAAAATAGAGTAAAGATAAAATGCTAAAAAAGGTTGCCATTTGCTAACAGGAAAAATATCAGCAAAAAATTACTAATCGATGCACATAGCAAATTGCCAAAAAAAAAATGTATATGTAATATAAGCCAGCTCCCATATCCACTTTCTACTTTTTTCTACTTTCCTCTATTTCTGCTTGTGAAATTTTTATCATCGTTATTGACATGAAGCGGCGACAAAATTCGACCTATCACTTGCCTGCGTACACACACAGTAGCAAAGCTACTACCCAAAAACTGCAATAATGCTCAGTGTCAGGGCTATTTACTTACCGACAGCGTTTTTGCTTTTCTTAATTTTTCCTTTTTTTATGTCAATGCTTGAGCTTTAAGCATGACAAACACATACAAAAATCTGCTGGAAACTTCCGATAATATGAATATTTCATTTATGGACGTCGAAAGTGATAGTAGCCAAGTGATTTTGCGAGCCTTGCTGTTGTCATTCTACACTTGCTTCTCTCTCTCCCCCTCCCACTCTCTCTCTCTCTCTTACTGTGTCTTCACATAAACGTGCTAACAGTCACGCTGACATATTGCCGCCGGCGCTGAAGAGATAATCGTATGCCATAACAATAAGCTGTGAGTGACAAGCAAAATTCAGTGCGAAAAACAAAGAAGAAAAGCATAGATTTCGAATTTTGTTGGTCGAAGAGAAAATATGAGTCTGTTGGCAACGTCATGCCAAGCCTGGCATATTTTTGAAGTGGACGATGGTTTTTTTCTCTGAAAACTATATTTTTCTTACGCAGGCAGTGTCCACAAGGGACTATTAAAAGAGAATCATAAAGATGATATGCTCATCCTTCCATACCCCATTCCACTAAATAAAAACCGTTGTCCACAAAAAAAAAAAAAAAAAAAACAAGGAAATATTGTTAGAATTTTGTAAGCTGAACCAAAAAAAAAAGATTGGACCATCTAAATAATATTTTTCATTGAATAACTTAGTCTGAGGCAGTGTTCTCTACTGTCGTTGATACGGTGACGCGATCTTTTCGCGCTGATCTTTCTAACGGCGAAGAGGTCTGCACCTTCCTCTGCTTCAATGCGAAAATTTCTTCATCCTTTCGGAGCACATGGCCCAGCTACCAAAGGCGCTGTCTGTTAATTCGATTATCTATGTTTATGCCGTCGAATGCCTTGTACAGCTCATCGTTCCACTGGTAGCGATATTCGCCATTACTTTCGCGTAAAGAACCATAATTTTTAAGCAAAATCTTTCTCTATCAAGGCCGACCCGCCTGATGTAGACATTATCCACGCCTCTGTACCATATAGTAGGACGAGAACGATAAGGGACTTGTAGGGTTCGGTTTTCGTTTGTCGAGAGCGGACTTTACTCTTCAATTCCTTACTCAGTCCAAAATAACACCTATTGGCAAGTGTGATTCTGCATTTGATTTCAAGGATGACATTCTTTTTTGATAAATGCTGGTCCCCAGATAGATGAACTTATCTGACTGTCGACAGGGACGTGAGAGCCAAGTCCACTTTATAGAAGGCAGAACTCACGGTTGTTAAGATCATGGATGTTAACACCATCGGCCTATGACAGCAACTGTACACACTTATTGAATACTGTATCTTCGACTTGCAGAGTTCCTTCCCTAATGGAGCTTTCGATGTTGCTTAACGACAGGTTAACACGTCATATGCACCTATTCGTTCTATCGAAGGCTGCTTTAAAATCGTGTGTATAGGTCCGATTTGTCGCTTGGTTAGTCTAAAGCCACAGTGGTAAAGTCCAATGAATTTGATGACGGTGGGCTTTAGGACCTTAAATACGAAACGAAGGAGACTTATATTACGGCAGTTGGCACAGACTGTACATACAGACAAGCTCATACATACTCCTTGTTAGTGTTTGAATAGCTTGGCAGGCATTCCCTTAATCTTCGCCTATCGCTGGTGAGGAAGTTGGCTCCATAAACGCATGGAATCTGCGCTTAAGTCGTTAAATAATAATAATACAAGAGTTTGTTCTGAAAACTTCTGCTAGTCGAGGCATCTTTCATAGAATTCTCAAACAATACCTTTATTGGCCAGCTCCTCAAGCTCTTAAGTTTCATGTAGCTCAGCTTCGTCTACGTGTAGTGGTTGATCGCGACATTGACATTGGCAATCCTTAATTTACCGACTCTTTTCTGGCACTGTCGAAACGAATTGTTTCCCTAGCGATGGTACGTAGAAAGATCGTGATGACATTTTTCAGTTCTCTTATAGCGAGTTGCTGATGATGTTGCTCTCAGGAAGCTACTTGCTGTCATTACAGTTTTTTGACTTTGAACTTTCTTTGTTATTTCGAGGGGGCATCGCTGAAAGAACTAGAGTAGAGCGTATCAAATATTATACTTAGGGAATTGGCAGAATAGGTGGCACGAGTGCAGATAGTATAACTGGGACCTTTTTAAAAGCAACAAAGTTAGTATTGGCGAATAAATAAATAAACATTTTGTACAAAAAATGTAAGCTCGGGTTTAGTTATTTAACACGCTTCGTTTTTATGTGCATTGCTTATGACGTTGACATAGAAAAAATTTCAAGAAAATCCTAAAATACGAAAATTCAATAAAATCATACGGAGAAACCTGGAATGGATTTAGAGCCTTAATGTCGTTTTATTTATACTCGCTGCAGTATGCAGTATGTAACCACATTCTACAATTTCACTATATTTAAATTTTTAACTTTCATTTTTTTTAATCTAATTGCAGTTGATAACAGTTTCCAATTTGATGCAACACGCGATCTTCTTCGTGAACTGGATGTGAACGACATTGTTTGGATCGGTTTGATGAGACCGCAGAGTTCTGAACGTTTTATGTGGTCGTAAGTATTTCTGAAGTGAAATTAACAACCGAAAAAAAAATTATTTTCAATATGATATAATTAGCTTTTTAAGGAGCCTTTAATATTTATAACTTAGCTATATCAAATCGCGGTGGTCCACGATATAAATAGAGTTCAAATTATCTGCTTAAAATTACCTGTTTAAAATCAACAGTTTTTGGTAGCTATCGAGGAGCAAGGCTGCCCAAAAACAGGGTTTGCCTTTTGCAGCTGCAGGTGAATGAATGTGTTGCGAAAACCAATTTACGAGAAGAGACTTGTGTCCAGAATTACCCGTTTTTACATTCATGAAATTTTTGTTTGTTGTAAAGTCTGAACTTCGGCATTATATGTGATACATTTCACGATTCAAATGACTGCTTTGACCTCTTTTCGGCACATATTGAGCGATATCTCAGCCATAACTTGACGATTGTTGGTTTTCAAGTGTTCGATAGTTCAAAAATTCCCCGCATAAACACGGTCTTTCTCATAGCCCCTCAAAAAAGTCTCGCTGGCCAATTGACATCGGCAAAACAAGAGATTACGTTAAATCGTTTTCCAGACCTCCAGACTAAAATGAGCACCAGATAGTAATTTTTTTTTGGTTTTTTTTTTTTGGTATAATAGCCTCTCTTTATATATTTTAGCATTTTTGGAACCCCAAATTCGATAATTTTGCATCCCAAGTATGAGAAAATATGAATTTTTATTTAACTTAAATTAACGATATATTTTGGCAACATTTTTGCCAAAAATTTTTTGCTTCGTTTGGCGGTTTTTTAACATTCAAAAGCTTTCTAAGCGCATTTTTATTCCAAACAAACCGATAACGAAATATACTTATGTATTCCATTAATAAAATTAAAACTAATAAAAAAAAATTAAGGAAAGAGGCGTTTGCAAGCCCACCCATCCGTTAAAGCTTTTGAAGGTATTTATAGTCTGAGGTAAAAAACCTCCAAAGAAAAGTATTTACTACCTTACGAGTCATTCAAAACTATCAGATTTATCAGAACTATGCATCTTTTCGCTCTCTAATTTCTTTTCATTATTTAGGTATTGTCATTATGCCTCTCTCATAGAAACCCTTGTCCTTATTGGCAAAAATTGATAAAATCTATTTCCACAGGTTGCTCTTGAGGCCAGCCAAATTATTGGTCATAGACAGGAACAGATAGTTGATACTTGGTGCGTGGCTCGAACTATAAGGTGGTTGCACAAGAAACTGCCAATCAAGCTCTTGGATCTTCTGACGAGTAGCTATCGATATGTGTAATCTGGCGTTGTTGCGTTCAAACACATTTTCCTTCCTGTGGGCCAAAATTGGATGCTTTGGAACGATTGCTTTCTTTAGACGGTCCGATTGCTGACAGTAAAAATCTGTGTGAAGAGTTTGGCCGCATCTCACTGCAGTTGATTCCTTGCCAATAAAATTAAAGACACACCAAAACTTTCATGGACATGAATCTCAGGTTTTTGACCGCTTATGCCGGGTCACTGCACTCCGACTACAACTGCTTTCATTTAATGTTATAACCGGAGTCGAGCTTTTTCGTGTATCCAGCCTTTTTCAAATGACTCCAAATCGTTTTCAATATGATATTTAATTGCTGGGCAATTGAAAAAGTTCGCGCATGACGATCAGACTTGTTGAAATCCATTTTGTGATAGACATTTTCACCACTTGGTCTTTTACACGGAATCGGCTAAACACAAATTTAGCAATTTGTACTGTTACAATAACAAGACCATAAGCACACGTTGCCGTTTCAGCCGTCTGATATGTGTGTTTGCCTCTATCGAAGCGAAATTTCGGCCAATTTTCTATTCGTTGGCATTCACTTTTGATGCGCGCTCTAACACTACGGATTTAAGTAATCAGCACTTTCCCCGTTCATCTTATTCTGCATTTAATTCCCGTGAATTGGGAAAGAGTACTTTAATTCTGGATGTGTGTCCCTGGTAAAGCATCTGCGGTTTACTTTGAGAAGCGAAAGGTGACCTATTCCGAATGTATTTATTTCTTTCATAAATATTTGTTTGGCATTAAAATGTAAGTTGCCAAATAAAATAAATATTTCGTGCATTTTGATAATAATTATTAATTTATTTTTAATTTTTTAATCAACTAGCCCATTAGGCAGATTTATTAGCTTAAAATCGCATTTCTATCACAAATTTAATGGTATTTAATGCTTATTGGAAAATATATAATTTTTTTGACACATTGCGTTTCTATTTTAAGTTTTTTTATTCAAATGTAAAACATAAATTCATTTAATTAAAATGAGTGAATGAATGAATTTTTTTTTATTTTATACAAGGTGTGTCCCAAAAATAACCGAACTTTTTGGATATAAAATAATGTGTATTTTATCTTTGAAAGTTATTATTTATTCAAAATAGGTTCCATTTGACTCAACACAACGTTTGGAACGATCAACCAGCGCATGCATAGAGTGTTTTATGTCATTTATAGAAATGTTCTTCAACACCTCGGTTACGGCTGTTTGAATGGTTGGGATATCATCATAAAATGCTCCCTTCATCTGGGTTTTCAGTTTTCGAATAAAGAAAATAGTCACATAGTGATAGATCAAGCGAATACTGAGGATGGTCGATGAGAGATATCCCTTTTTTCATTAAAAATTCGAGCGGTTTTTTTGGTCGTCATTTAATTCGTGTGGAACAAATCGTGCACAGACCTTTCTTTTCCCCAAATCTTCAGTTAAACTAGTGTTTTTAATCGTATTCAATTCCTCAGCCAACATTCTCGTAGTGAAATTCGCACCGATACCAATGATTTCACGGACTTTTTCCACCAGCTCAGCACGATTACTAGTTTCTGGACGTCCTGCTCTAGGGTCGTCACTTAAATCCTCACGATCATTTTTAAATTGTGTAAACGACGTATTAACTTGCGTCCGACTCATAGAATCATCACAATAAACTTTTTTCATTAATTTTTTTTTCCAAGTTTAACACAAAATTTTATATTTTCTCTTTGTTACATTTTATTTTTGAACCATTAGCACACTTTTGGTTTTATTGAAATGGCTGTCACTTTTACATCTGTCATCCGACTAACATGATGTTAGGTGCGCTTGAAAGAGGATGAATGTATCTTTTTAATGTTGCAATAGATGGCGCTGTATGTTGTATGATTTAAACATAAAGTTCGGTTATTTCTAGGACACACCGTGTAAATAGTTTTAAAATTTAACTATATGTATTTTATCTATTAAAATTGGTTTTGTAATTTTTTATCCAGAAAAGAGAATGGGTTTTATATTTTTTAATTTTATTTTTATGAAAACGCTGCAAAATTCAATGAATATTTTCTATTTAAAATTAATTTTTATTTGAAATCAATTGTGTTCATTTTTTAACCTCATTTCCATTTATCTATTGCTCTTAATTGACACTTTTATTTTTTTCTACGGCAAGCTGTTAGTATTCTTTCCTCTTTTCCTCACTGCATCTGAGTTGAATCGACGGCATACACCAAAGTAAGAAGGGAAAGCATGCGGTCAATCCAAATGTTCCAAGCATTCATGCGGCAATCGCGAACATTCATCTTCTTAGTGTGAGGTGCAGAGCACCAAGGCAAATGCACAAACACGTTTCTGTTTTTGCCTAAAATCGCAGGGAAAGACATATTAACTCACACAAGCACTCCTGCATATAGTGCAAGCTTTTTTTTTTTTTTTTTTTTGAATTCACGAGGTCATGCCCCATCCATTATGGCCTTTCGAACGAAATGCACTGAATACGGCGCTTAAAAGCATTTCTAAGAGTCGCGTCGCTGCTATGCGCCAAGAGCATTCATTCAATGCGCTGTCCGCCTAAAAGTAGACCGTAATTTATGTGTTTTCTAATAGTGTATGTATGTACATACGCACCCATATTTAAGCACATACAGATGCTTTTGGTAGTTTTCATTTTGTATATTTGTACTTTTGCTGATAAACAACATTTTCTACACTTTCCTTCTTCCCCTCTCTCCCTCTCTCTCTCTCTCTATGTCTTTTCCTCACTTCTAAATGCTGTCTTTAGCAATTCTCGCCCACTGGTCACCGACACCGGCTACTGGGCTGAATCGTTGCCACTAATGGATGCACCACTCTGTGCCGTTATTGATCCCATACGCGATTATCGTTGGCATGCATTGCGTTGCGGTGGTCCGGAAACCGCATCGTTCCTCTGTGAAATGCCGGGTAAGTGTACGCATAGTACTGCTGTGCCGCTTTGCGTGTATGCTTAAATGAAGCAGGCTCGTATATTTCTTTTATTTTCTCTGATAATTGTTTTTATTAATTCCTCTACTGCTTTCATTTCCTCTGCCAACGTTTAGTGCCAGCCTGGGCTGATGCCTGCATACTCAAGGATATGCCCAATCTTACAATGCAATACATGGCCGATACTGCAAGCATTGAGTTGATACGTAATTGCGCTGAAGAAGGCCTGCTGAAGCAGTCGTGCAAAGGAAAGCAGGTAAGTTGGTTACGGCATTGGCTGTCAAAAATCTTTGCCTTAAAATTGTAGAATAGACGATAGAAGCTCATTAGAGATATAATCAGTGATCTATGGACCTATAGACCGTGATGTGGAAAAAAATTACAATTTTAACCAGCAAAAGCGCAACAATTTCTACTGCTCTTTGCTGTTTAGCGTCAATCGGAAATACCAATTGAAACCGGATCTCCAACGGAGTGAAGTTCTTATCCTTCCTCTGTTTATGTCAGCGGGTTCTTCATTAAATACTTACAAAGCTGGAGTGTTTTATCCATTCGAATGACATGAAATGCCCTCTCAGGCATAATTTAACCCACACAGCTCAAAATACTCATTAGAAGAACGAAGTTCGATTGAATTCACCTAAAAATTTAGTATTTCAAGCATTCAAGGATTGTACCCCCTACAGTTCACATGCTCGTTGCAGTGATAAAACTAAGCTGGGTTTGATGTGACCGACCTAGTATCAAGCCGACTTTAATGTGATCAATCCTTGTCATCACACATAGCTGCAGTCCAGTCCTTGGCATCCCACTGCTACCTATGATTGATAGAGAGATAGACCCAAGTACAAATTTAGTCCGGAATTGCAAGCTAGTCGAGCGACAGACACTGATATGAATCCATCTTTACAATAACTTCAGACTACATTTTTCGCGGCCAAAACTGTATTCCAATCAAACAGACAAGATACTGCGATTTGCTGCAATCCACACCCACCCAGGACTTCCTTGAGAAAACCGCTTTCTGGATCTCAGCTACGTCCACAAGCCCAAGAGCTTAGCACCGCGCCAGCAGCGAACTCTGTCTAATTTTAAAATTCTTTAACCTTCATCTATACTTACGGTTAATTTGATCGTCCTAGTTTATTCTGGACGTTTCCTCCAAATTTATTACTCATTAAAGGCTTATCCGACTTTTGGTCCATTGGTTTGAAGAAAAAACCCATAACAATGTCCGGACGCGTCTTCTCTTTATTGGTGTTTATCTCCACAAGGCCGGTACGCAGAGACAATGCACGCAACAATATGTTCAAAAAGACGTCGTACTAGGCCATCACTGATCTTTGTTTCAAATAGAGTCTGCTTTTGAGGTTAACGGCTAGGTCAAAAGAGCTTTTGGAAGCTTTCTCTTTATTCCTCGTTACTGCGGCCTTAAATAGCTGAATCCCTCTGAAGGGAGTAATTGTTCTAGGTTTTTATTAATTTTAGACTACATTAGAATCCATGTGTACCTCACAAATACTCATTATTTTCTTCCCCACTCTCACCCAGGATCGCGATCGTGCACTCCGTGAGCTGATCTGCCCACGGGAACGACTCGAGGCGCAACGCATCAACGACATAACCAATTCCCACTTCAAGTCTTTACAAATCATCAACAGCATACGCACAGACAACAATGAGAATAATGATATTGAGTTGCTACCCTTAGGTGAGACATCTTACGGTTCTTCCAGCAGTAGTGATATCTCCGAGCAGGTACCAACTGAAAAGAACACCGTACAGCGGCTGATCGAACAATTCAATGTGGACGAGCTCATGCAGGCAGATGAAGCAGCCATGCCTGTTAGTAGTTATCACATACCAGGAGAAATACCGAAGCCCGTGAAGAAGGCGGCCAAGAAGGTGATCATGACAAATGGTGGTGAGTATCAGAAAAAGAATCGTGGACAGAAATATGAAGAGATGACCATCCAGTTGCCACCACCAACGCCCAAACCCAAGAAGCCACAACAAATGCTCTCCTTGGATGACATGATGATGGGTGACCAACCGCAACAAAGTGGTGAGCCGGAGATGATGGAGCATGTCGGTCCGGAGGAAGATGAGGTCTCTAATGAAATAATGGAACCGTTGCCACATAAGAAAAAAATATTGCCACAGGATTTGAAGACAATGGCACCAATAACGGAGAAGAGTTCTGAAGAAGTCAAAAGCGCAGAACGGTTGCTGGAAAAGAAGGTAATGTTTAAAACTACTTTAGCACCTGCGACCACTACTACAAGTACTACTACCACAATGGCACCCGCAACGACGACTACAACAACCACAACCTCTACAACAACAACAACTACAGCACCGACAACAAATGCTCCCATCACCACTGCGGCTCCGGTCTCAACTTCGCCGGCAAAAACACAACACTTACCGGAAACAACTACTACAGCAGCACATCCTCCGACCACAACTACCACACAGTCATCTTACTTTGGTCTCACCTCGCACACCGCTGAGTCCGAATCTCATTCTCATTCAACTTCCGTGCCAACTGGTAGTCCCACAACATCACATATATCGCCGAAATCAACTGAGTTCGACGATGACGCTGACCCACTCGCCAATATCGGCCATCCCATGCATCCCCAACAACAACATGCTAATGGAAAAATTGACGAGTCGCCGCATCCACACATGAAGGAGACAGTCGACAATTCACATTTCATACCACCAATGTTGTTGGTGAAATCCCATTATGTGCCACCGCTAAAGCACAACGAGCATCCCGGAGCTGAGCATCATGGCGCCCCTCTCAACGAGGGGTCAGCAACACATAGCGGACATGAAGATCCGAGAGGAACAACCGGTGAGTTGAAAGTTTATTCCTGAAAAGTAAATTTATATTGTTTTAGTAAGATCCACACATTTTCTGCCTCGTCCTTACTTTAGTAAGTTCAATGTAATCTCTTTGCGCTGAAAACGATCTGAGAAGCCAACTTCCTAAACTTTTATAAAGACTAGGGCTATAAAGGACTCAGACCAGCTTAGTTGCTCCTTAAAATAAGTAGATGGAGAAGCGTACTTTTGAGGTCTGGGTATCATATGAAGTGCAACAACACACCCATCCCAATTATTTCCGAACCGAGATCTTTGGATTAATTTTACCACCACAGTTCTCCTTCGGGAGACAACTGCAGCTCTGGCAAAAGCAGATGTTGTACCTTTCGCTCCCAAAAATAAAGCTCTTAATGCTTCAACATCAAGTGCTTAGGAATGTAAATGTACTCATTTAGGTACGCGTGTTTTCAAAGAAGGCATCTGGTCCATTGAAATATTTCTTTAACCGGCCAAAATAGGAGAAAGCTTCTTAACCTACCAATTTACTGAACCCTACAAGTAATTAGCGGAACACTCTACTTAGAAGACCCGACGACTATCCATCATCCACACGATAGCTCCCAAGGAATATAAGTATAGGAAGCACGCCTTGTAAAGTACCTTCTGCTCTCGAGTTAGGCTAGATCTAGATCCTATGCATAAGTCTTATGAACATAAGATGGATCAGTGTCTTCTGACAGCCCGATGTCACCTAGCACTCACGCCAATAAACTGCCAAATTCCTGTTTTGCCTGTTTTGAAGACATATTTCAAATGCAGTTGTGCATGAACCGACCCACTAGCGCTTGCTTTCTTCAAAAATTCGGCTTTCTTCAGAGCTTTACTGATTTTATTAATAAATTTCCTTTATTAAATTTATTATGGCTTCACAGCCGACTTAACCAACGCCTCTTTTTGTTGCGTCCAATCTTATTGTACTCCAGGTAAATCATTGGCCGACTCCGCACACTACAGCACCACCGCGAGCTCGACGTCTGGGGCTGCAACAACGCACAGCCAACACATAAAGGCGGAGAAAGTTACTGATGAGGCTGACGTCGGAACGATGACCACAAACACAATGACGGCCACAATGGCAGCAATAAAATCCGGAATAACAACAACAGGGCGGATGGATACAACAACAACCAAAGTTGATGAATTAACAAGAAAAGCAATCGATAAATCGACTATCGAGGAAGCAGGAGAGGAAGAAGTAGGAAAGCAACGGCGACCAAAGGAAGTGCAGTCAGAAACTGTTAAGATAATTGACAGCAGAGATGCGGCGAAGTTGCAAGAACCACAGGTTCGGTTGGGCCAACAGAAGCCGCAGAGACAGGAGGGTAGCAGTGACAAGCTAAGAAATATTAAAGCACAAACGCAAACTGGAATGGAAACCAGGGATGATGATATGACAGAGAAAATTGAGAATGTTAAAGGAGTTGTAGCAGAAAATCCAACAACAGCAACAACAATAACAACGATAGAACCACTACGAACAGACGCGCCTGCCAACGCCGCAATTATTAACAGACAGCACTCGCCATCGACGCCAACAACAATCACTGTGACTACAACAACAGCGTCAATAGCAGCAGCAGCTAGCACAGCTACAACAACAAAAACAATGAAATCTGCTGACAACATCGCCTCAAGAGTTGAAATCGAGAAGCCAGTTAAACGGATACCACAGACAAAAGAACTGTCAGCGATGACAAGCAGTGTAATGGCGGCTGAGGACAGTGTGCTTACTACAGCAACAACAATAGCAACAACAGCTGATAAGATGGATGAAGCGCAGCAAACAATAAAAGCCATAACCGCAACACAAAGGCAACACGATGAGGATCACACAAAAGCCGGAGCAGCAGTAATAACAACAACAACAACAATAACAGTAGCTGAATCCATCTTAGGCCACAACAAGCCGGCCTTAGAGACTATTCGTCCTTCAACACAATCCAGCTTGGCAACAACCACAGCGCCAGCTGTTGCTTCCTCCGCCGCTGCAGCCATCACAGTTCCCACTCATACAATTACAACAACCACAGCATGCAGTAACAGCGATACAAATTCTCCAGAATCGACAACCACTTTCCACGACGCCTTGGACGAAAGCTCTACGAACGCAGATGTTGCCGACGGCCCAACCGGCGCTGACAAAAAACTCACGCGTGTACATCGCACTTGCCAACCGCGCATCGAGAAGACACAGCATAAGGGTAAGCAGCATACGAAGCATCATGCCGCGCACACCGTGGAATCACCAACGCCGACACATAATTTCATGAAAGAAGAGACCGAGACGCCACCATACAAGCCAAATCGTCATCGCGTGCTGACCAAACCGGAAACTGTCAGCTATTTTAAGAAGATTTTAGGTTAAGCGAGAGAAGTTGTAAGGCGACAAAATGAGAGGGTAGGAGAGAAGGTAAAGTGCAAAAAAAAAAACGTAAGGTGTGCATAAGAGAGACGGAGATAGACAGAAAAAAGTGTAGAAGGAGAGCGAGCGGTTCAAAAGATAAGGAATGAGAGATAATAGGGAAAGGGGGAAAGGAGAGGACAACGGAGTAGAATGAAGGAGAGCAGCATAGTTTGGATGCAAGAAAAAACCAGATGTGGTAAATATATGAGGTAAGATGACCGTTAAGAATAAAGAGCAGATGAGACTAGAATAATAATACGAATGATAATGGCAAAAGTAATCGAGATGCGTAAAAATGAACAAGATTACAAAATATCTAAGTTATAGGTAAACTAAATTTAATGCAATACAAATTCGGTGTGCATAGAGAATTTTAGTAGAACATCGGTAATAGGAATATGCGAGAATAAGGAAAGGAGGATAGGAAAGAAAGAAAGAGGTGGAAAGAGAAGTGGAGAGAGAGAAAAATTAGTAGAGGGAGAGAAAAAATGGAGGAGAGAAAAAGCAAGGCACGAGCGATGGAGAAGCTAAGAGAGAAGAAGAAAGAGTGAGGCGGAGAGAGAGCCGAGGGAGAGAGAGAGAGAAGAGGATGGAGAGATATATAGGTTTGCGTCTTATAGTTTAGCCTAAAGTTACAAGGAATCATAGTGACCAATTATAAATTGTTTGAAGCTTAAGAATTTAAAAATTATCTAACTGAAAGAAAACTATAATGCAGAGGAGATAATTTGAAAGGAAATTAGTATAGTATGTCAATTTGAGAATAAGTAAAAGTACAGAAAGAAATCTTTAGAAGCTGTAGCTAAAGGAAAAGAGTCAGATTTTGATCTGAATTCAGCTAAAATTTTTTAAACGAGAAAAACAATGGTTTATTAATGCAACAAGTTATACGTAAAGTAACATAAATATCTCTAGGGAGCAAAATGCGAATGGGGAAAAGAAAAGGAAGAGTATGCGATTTCTGTATACAACTTCGACAGGGAGAAGAGATTTAAAATAAAAGGTTGAAGGTGAGAAGATAAGGCCAAATTAGCTGAGTATGTCATTGCATATATATTTACATAATTACACAAGCTCACGCGAACATAAAACCCAAACAAAATAAAAATCAATGGAAATAAGAAAAACTGTCTACCAAAAACTCCAATACGTTCATATGTTGTTAAACTTTTTTAATGTGTTTATGATAAAAAAAAATTAAATGTTAAAAAAAGTTAAAAGTTTCGCAGTTGATTTTTTCTACAAAGAATTTCTCTAAGCCAATGTCAGTGTTGGATAGTTTATGTTATAGCCACAAAAGGAGAGGAAGAGAGCGGAATTACACCGAGTAGAAAGTTCACTTTATAAAAAGCGAAACAACAATAGTTGAATGTTTTAAGCGATATAACTTAATTTTGAGCACAAAAGTAGTGAAAAATATTAGAAAACAAACCTTGTGCCGTTAAGAAGAGAGGTCGTAATCCATAGTGGAGCTCTTCATCAATCACCTTATCGTCTCGTCTTTTCTCTGCAATATTAAAGAGCTTTGTTTTGTATTTATTTCGCTAAACGTTCTGACAAACTACCTTGGTAGAGCTTTGCAAAATTCTTAGAAATTAAAAATCTTCGGTTAGTCAACCAAAAAGTAACCCCATTTAAATTATAAAAATTTTTAAATAATTTTTTAATTACTAATTGAATTTTCAATGCAATTTTAGCGAAAAAATAAAATAATTAAAAAATAAACTTATTAAAAGTTAATCGCTCTCTACCGAACATTGATGCCGCAAAATATACAAAATACTTAAAATATTATTGAAATATTAAGCGCGGAATACTTGACTACATTGACATTGGCAAACAAAAAACCAAGGCTGCAACTTAACGGCAAATTTCACGTTTATCAAAAAATTTCAACCGATTTGGTTGAACCATGTGTAATTGATGTCGTTAAAGCAGTTAACAAAATAAATTTTAACTCGTTTTTAACCGAAACGAAATGCTGTCGTTAATGTTAAATTGTTAACAGATCATGTTAAATCGCTAACAGATAATTGAAAATCTTAACACTGCAGAATGCTGTTAATATCAAAGCAAGCAGCCACTTTTAAATTAACATTAACGATGAGTTTTTGCGGTTTCAACAATAACAAATTCTTTTCGTTTCGTTAACATGACGGCGAAACGAAACGAAACAATTTTGTTAGGTTTATTTCTCATATTAACGAGTCGAAATGACATCTCTACATAAAACCAAAATATGTTTGCAATTTATTTCTAATTGCAATTAAATATTTATTGTAACAGCATGGAAATAATGCTTTTCTAATTTCCATAAAAAATCAATTAAATTTTTCCAAAAAAGTATGAAAGTGCTCGGAAAGTATGCAAAACATTAATAGCAACAACAACAAATACAACAACAAGCACACACTAAATATAGTGAAATGAAAAGAGTTTTGCATGAAATTACACTCAAAAGCGCACATAAAACATATACACATATATATGTATACATGCAAACATACATTCGTAAAAACAAGTGTGGAAGACCAAAAAAAAAAAAAACAAATATTAAAAGCAAAAAACCAAAAAAAAAACAACACAAATAACGGAGAGGAGAAATTTTTATTATTCATTATGTACAATTAAAACCAAAAATTAATATTAAAACGTTTTTAAATTGCATTAAAATTGAAAGCAAACAACAAAAATAACAACAAAACAAATATGCAAGTATAGAAATAAATGCGTTAATGAGCGCATTTAAACGAGTTTGTTGTGTTGGGCAAAAACAACAAAAATAAACAAAATAAAAACTACAAACTTTGTAGTTCATTAAAAAAAAGTTTTATGAAATAGGCATAAAAAAAACTCACAATTAATTAATTAATATTAAATGATTATGAAAAGTTATCGAGTCAATATTATGTCTGGCAGTGTGTGTATGCGTTTGTGTGTGTGTTTGTGCTTAAGCGCACTCATAATTACATATTATACATTAATTATTGAAAGCATAAGCAGCTTGAGGGGGTAGCAAAAAAACAAGACGCCAAGAGACAGTCAAACACACAAGCACACACTCACACACACGCAGATATGAAAACGGCAATGATATTGAAAAAGCCAAACAAAAAATACTCTTTTCAAACTCAGATTAAATTAATCGTTTGTTTTTGTAGTCTTTATTGATAAAAAAAAATGAATTTAAAAAATATATTATTATTGTCACAGCGCAGACAAACAAATAAATAAATAAACGATATAAATAAAAGAATTACAAATTTTCACTGAAATTAATATTTGTTGTACGCTTGTGTACACACAGACAAAGGTAAATAACAAACAACATACAGTGGACAAACAAGAGCAAAGCAAACAATTAATAAATAGAAGATGTATGTACTATTTGTGGGAATGCTATTACAAATAATGAGCGTAAAAGAAATATAAATATACATGCAGACAGTATAATTAAACGGAATTTAATAAAATTAAAAATAAATAAAAATTAAAATTACTAAAACTTTGTTTTATTTCAGCCAATTTTTAATAACCATTAAAAAATTAAACAAATTTTCAGTATATACATATTTTTTTTTTTTTTTTTTTTTTTTTTTTTGAAAATACCCTGTCTCTGTAGACTAAGACTGATTTTTTAGCTATTAAATTTTAGGCAACACTGGTTCAAGCAGCTGCTAAACGTTTCGTGTTTTGTATCACTGCCAAAAATCTTCTGTTTGGTATATAATTTAACCATGAATCGTCTTACAAACGAACAACCCTTGCTAATCATTGAATTTTATCACAAAATGCGTGCTCTGTTAATTATGTAATCACGCCCGATTTTATCGGAAAATTGTGTGCAGCGACGAAGCTCATTTTTGGCTTAATGGGTGTGTGAATAAACAGAATTATCAATTCTGGAGTGAAGATCAGCCAGAAGCATTGCAAGAGCTATCAATGCATCCAAAAAAGATCCCATTTCGGTGCGGTTTATGGGCTGTTGGCATCATTGGACCGTACTTCTTCACAGATAATGCGCATCCTAACGTAACTTTGAATGGTGAGCGAACTTTGTTTTGCCCAAAATGCAAGAGCTTGACACGAATGACACCTGGTTTCCACAAGAAAGTGCCACATGGCACACAGCTCGCGTAACAATAAACTTATTGAGAGATGAGTTCGGTGAACATTTTACTTCACGTTTGGGATCGTACGACTTAACGCCTTTAGACTATTTTTGTCAAAATTGTACTAAGCGGGCGTATCATTTAAGGCGCAGTCACGGTCAATAATTGCATGAAATAACCTTCAAAAATTAAGATATATGGACCGCACTATCGAGTCAAAAATAAATTTCATGCATTTTTCTGATTTTTTTTTTTTTTTTTTGTTGAAAGCCTTTTTACAAGAAAATACTAGTAGTAGGTTGCTTGTTAAACAGTTCACCACTAATGGTAGTAATTATCATTTTAATCACTGTTTGTTGTTGTTGTTATAGCGAGCGTGCTTTGGCTCAGTTTCCATCTCAGTAACGCATCGTTGAAGTGCGCAAAATGATGCTAATCTCTAAATCGTCACGAAGCCCAAATGTTTAGAGGTCATCGCTGTAGTACGTCAGGTTAACGGTTCAAGTCTAGTTTTGCTGGCAATTTTATTTTATTTTTAATTTTTGGTGAAAAAAAAATTTTCAACACCACATACCACCGCAGTCAAACTGATTTCTGTTTTTATTTCAAATTTTTTCTTGGTATAGTAGAAATTCAATATGTCTAAATAAACTGGTATACAACTAGTATGAAGTTGATGAATAGTCGAACAAGTAACAGCTCGGAAGCGATTCTAGTGATAAAACTATTGCCCCGATAAAGCTGGAAGACAGGTATTACTAGCTGTGATACCAACAGTAAATGCGCTTTTGAGCGCTTTTCAGTTACGATAACTACAGGAAGCTAATGAACTCTATATCAACGCACTGTTAATTTAAGCAAAAAGCATTAATGTTCTATGTGACGACTGCTAAGCCTCAAACCCACATCTACGACGGCACAAATGTAGCACAGGCTTATGTAAGCCATAGCGGCCTACCAGCGTAACCTAATTGAGCCTAATACAAAACAGGCCATGCCTAAATCTTTATAACTTTCAAGACCATTTCAAATATCTCGTCAACAGGTCAACGTCGACACAAGACTACAAAGATGGAATTCGTGAAGCTAATGAGGGCACACAGCAGCCACTTGTGGTGTAATGTGGTGATGGAAAATTTCATAAAAATGATACGGTCCTGTATGGCCGCAGTTTGACCGATACTGATTTCTTCTATTGATGGCATATCTTCTTCGAAATACTGTTGTAAACATACGGTAATTTTTAACAAACAAAAGCTTTTTTCTTTGAATATCAAAATAACACCTTTTACTGAAAATCCCTGCTTCCCGGATTTCCTTTCAACATTGTTTTTAATCCTTAATTGTGAATTTAATTGACGATGGCTATAGAAACTGCTGGTGCCTTTTTCCAGAATAATTAGCAAGGACCAAAAACTTAAGTTGTTTCATTTCAAATACTCATTGTTTTCCAGTTCCCATTACGAACTCATTATATTTTGCTTCATTATTTATTTTAGATTTCTGATTTGATTTATTGAAGCATTGCCTTTTATCAAATATATTTTCGCTACATTGATTGCCACAGGCAGCATCCGTTTCTAGCAATCGATTGTATTGTTATTGTTGTTCCATTATTTTACTTCAATAACAATAATAAAATTCAATTATAGACTATTGACAAAACGAGCTTGGGCTGTAATTATTTTCAGCACCACACCCAACAACAACAACCATATACGCCTGAAAAACCCTCAATATGCACCGCCCAGCAAAATGTTTGTGCCTCACCCCAACAAAACACATTCGCACGCACTGCTAAATTCACACTGCAATTCAATTATTTCAATAGAACGGCCCGACCGGCCCCATACTCCGCGAGGCACTGACAAGGCTTTGGTCAGTGATTAAAATTGAATTGAAATTTGTATTGAAATTACATTAAATATGCGCACAAAGGGTCATTGATGACCCAAAACAATAGGAGGTGACAGAAAAGTCAAGCGAAGTAAAGAATAAAGCAGTAAAACAAACGAAAATTCAAAAAAAAAATAATCTTAAAACAAACAAGCAGAAATTCTAGTTTTTTTTGCTGTGATAAATAAATAACAAACAATTTGAAAATAAAAAGATTTCGTTAATATGGCATTGGCATTATATGGAAAACAACAAAAAAAAAACAAATAGAAGCACTGGAAGTCAGCAACAACATGGGCAACAACCTAAAGATGGCTTCAAAACTGTGGCGCAGACAACAAGTGAAGGGTAATGAAGTGGAAATGAGCATTTCAATTGTCACCGAGTGTATTTTTTACATTTAATGGAAGCTAAATTACAGAACACAAAAAATCAATTTTTCATATTTAATAAAAGTTCCATAAAGCCGGCAAAGTTTAGCGAGTTTCAGTGTAAGACCATTTTCATGAGCCTCTAGACGAGTGAGAGTTTTTCAAGTTTAAGAGAGTTCATATTTGCTTGCCTCAGATTTAATCTTGAAATTTTACACTGCCAGTAGCCAAGTAGTTAACAGTGTGTGCTACTATGCATTAGATCATAGGTTTGACCACTGGACAACATAAGGTTGTCAAATATCTCCCTTCCGCTTTTTTGTCTTTTCGCGGCTATGTACAAAGCGCTACAGAGCACGTACAACATAAAAAATATATATAATATTACGATGGGATTAACAGAAATCCAGTCAGTTGGTGACTTTCAATATGCTTTTGTTAACTCTAAAAATACCAAATTCTTTGAAAATCCATTATTAGTCTTCCTTTAGAACGAGCGGCTAAAACGAAGACGAGATAGCGTTATGTGATTCTCTTTGGGTTTCGGCGTAGTTTTACAGCCAATACCTCTTTAAGGACTATTTCTATGTGGTTCTGAAGATTCCAGACCGGACATTTTTCCATAGATAACGAGCCCCGAGACAATCGACCAAAATCTTACACTGATCACGTCACTAAGGCTGGGATACACAAGAGATCTGCTCGATATGTACAACGTACTTTAAGTAAGACCCAAAGAGATGCTTGAGCGCATTTTAATTAATTTTCCCTAAACCAACTTAAAAAGGGTCACCCTAGCGACTGCAGTAAAGTCGTTACAGGTGACAAATCTTGGTTCTATAAGTAAGAAGCAGAACAAACAGCAGTTCGTGTTATGGAGCCCAACAGGAACAGACTCATCCGTAAAATCTAGGCAAAAGAAATTAGTAATAAAAGTTTATTTACGAGTTTACTTCACCGCATCAAACATCTTAGCTAAAGGACCAGACGGTAACGGCAAAATAGTACACGGAAGAGAGCTTACCAAAAGTGCTGAAATAACGAGTAATATTTGTTGCGAACCCTGGGATCGAAGAAATATCCTCATAAAAGATAAAGATGCTCCATGTCGTCAAAACTGTCGATAAAATAATTGAAATTGTCGAG